TTAAGAAGATGCTTAGCATCCCAGTGTGGCTGTCTAATGAATGCCGCCTTGGAGGCAAGGCTTCCTCTCCGGAAACCTTATCTTGAACGCCTCCACTTTTCTTCTCTTTCCTGTGAACCTCACATGACCAGTTAATAGATGGTGTCAGCTCAATGCCACCCCAAGAGGCCTGCCTTAAACTCAGACTAGGGCGGAACCTAGTACTTCCTTATCTTCAAGTTCTCGTCTGTGTTCTGTGCTACACCAGTACGTGGACTACAGGGACGGCAACACTGTCTAGGAGAGGTTATACACACACTCAAACATACCCACACATACACACATGCACACACACTTACACACACATTTCTTAGCCTCTAAAGAGGTCCCAATGTGGGCAAATCCACATTGTACACTAGTGGCTGCTTTTTTTCTCAGAGTCTCTAGTGTGTCAGGAGTCACCCTGATGATTCCTATATAGCTAATGAGGTGGGGCAAGTATTGATCTAGTATTTGACTCACAGCCTGCTTTCACCCTGAAGTTTCCTGCAGGACATTTTCAAAGAAATTAACTCCTGGGCCAAGCTTTATTTTGCTACTCTACAGTGTGTGGTTTTTTTTTTTAAAGCCACCTTCCTGGCCATTGCAATGTGCCAGCAAGCCACAAAGTTAACAGTCCTTAGCACACATTACATACACACACACACACACACACACACACACACACACACACACACACACACAAAACGTGGTTTAGATGCCTTTATCCAGGCTCAAGATCCCAGCTACAAGGGAGGTTGAAGGATCACAAGTTTAAAGCCCACTTGGGCTATGGAGTGAATGTAAGCCAGTCTAAGCAACCTCTTGAGAGGCTGTCTCAACAATTAAAAAGGAAAAAGAGAGGGAGCAGGTTACAACTTAGTAGAGCATTTGTCTAGCAAAGGAGAACAAATTGGGATGACTCTGTCATTGTTTTATAATAGTGTGAAATGCCTCTGTTTTTGTCTTACCCGAAAACAGCACAAATAAAGATGCAATGTTTAAGAGTAGATGTCTTGCTACTCCCAGACTGATATCTTGTTTAAGGGCACAGAACCTGTCTGGTTAACTTACTGATTGACAGAGGGCCTGACGACTCCTTGGTCACCTGACTGAGCTCCAGCCCTCCACTGGGAGGGTGTCCCGAGCCTCTGCCTGGGAGGGGACTCTTGGTCTCCCTTCCAGACGCTGGCAGGAAGTCTGCACTCATCCTAGGAAGAGCCGGGCTGCTCCACAGCCAGCGCAGTGAGTACCCACGGGGTCACCTAGGTCTGAGGACTGCCCTGAAGCTCGCTTCTTGGGAAAACTCTCCGAGCAAGTACGTGCCAGCGCTGGTGACGTCAGCTCAGAGACAGCTGAAGCTGCCTTCAGATTGGAGGAAATTAAAGGAACTCACAAATGAAATCTTTGAACTAGAGCAGGCAGTATTGATCTGAGCACGGATCAGGAGGGGGCTGCTTAAAACTTTAAATTAGTAGGGGGGGGGGGGGAAGCGAAAAAATTAACGTGGCGAAATAAAATATCAGTGGTCACTTAACAAGTAAACCTTCAGATATTTGGACTTAAGACATTTCAACCAATGCATGTTGAAAACTTTTATCCCGGAAAATGCTCAACTATTCAGATGGCTGCTGCCTGGTTGACATCCTGCCTAAGGTAAATGTTTATGAGCAGGTCATGTGCTACCGGCCCCGTGTGATGTTTACTGTTCTATTGTCCAGACAAAACTGGAAAAAAATGAATGTGGGCGGATAAATGATAATTTTAAAGCCTGCCTCCGTTGTGGAATGAGTTTAAAGTCCACCTAGAAAAGCCTGTGGGCTATCTCAAATCCAAAAAAGTGAAACTAAAGGGCCAGGGCTATAGCTGAGCAGAGAGTGCTTGCCTAGCATGCTGTGGGTTTAACTTGAAAGAGTTGGGGAGGGAAGGAAAGAGTGAGACAGAGAGGAGGGAGAGAGAGAGAAAGAGAGAGAGAGAGGAGAGAGGAGAGAGGGAGGGAGGGAGGGGAAGAAAGGGAGCTAGGGAGGGAGGGAAAGGGAGGGACAGAGGGAGGAAGGGAGAGGGAGAGAAAGGGAGAAAGAGAGAGAAAGAGACAGAGAGAAAAGAAAGAAGCAAAGAAGAGAAGAACAAGGCAGAAAGAAAATCAGGATCTCAACTATTGTGGGGCCTAGCATGCTGTGGGTTTAACTTAAGACACACACACACACACACACACACACACACACACACACACACACCAGGGACTCACTAGCATAGTCCTGCCTGGCCTATTTGTGGTAAAAGGGACTGGGAGCTGGACATGGGTGGCACACACCTTTAATCCCAGCACTTGGGAGGCAGAGGCAAATGGATCTCTGAGTTCAAGACCAGCCTGGTCTACAAAGCAACACAGAGAAACCCTGTCTTGAAAATAACAAACAAATAAATAAATAAATAAATAAATAAATGGGACTGGGGATAAATGCCTGGTAAAGTAACCATGCTTCTCTTTACCGTAGAAATGTCACTGATTTAGAATAAGGTGGAGCCTTCATCGTGACTGCCAGGGATTGTCAGTACACACAGAATTAGATCCCATGGTTTATTAAATGCCAGGCGAGAACTGTATGTGGAGACCCAACATCCTTTATCTAAGGCAATAACTAAAGTTGACTCAGCAGTCAGATGGGTACATGTGCTCTGAGTAATACAACTACTCTCTCAATCCAGGCTGATACCTGGGGCTGCCCATTAATATCCCTTATCAGAGCCCCCTTTTTTTTTCTTTCTGTAAAATAATCTGCCTAGTTTAATGGTTAGGTGCTGTCCTCTTACCCATGCACTTGCTTTGCTAGTTTTAATTAAAATGGGAAAAAAAATGATTTCTTAGTTCCCAAACCTGTATTTTCAGTCCCATGGCAGCTTTCCAAATAGCTCCTGCCTCATGTTTAACAGCCCTGATATCTAGGATTTTTTTAAGTAGTCAAGCAGTCAAGCTGACCATGAAAAGAGTGGCCTTTCCTCTGTGCTGGGACTGTGAGCACGCGCCACATGTTTTTTCTTAACCCTTGAACAATAGCCCTTGCAAGCCACTATCAGGCATAAACTTTCTCTGAGCCTAGAGGCAGTATTGTCTTTGTAGTAAGTAATGTTACTGTGTTACTTTTTTAATAGGCCTCAGTGTCTTCTTTAGCTGCATCTCAATATGGGAAACGTTTTCTATCCGCCATATGTTTTTCTTTTTAAGAATGTGTGTGTGTGTGTGTGTGTGTGTGTGTGTGTGTGTGTGTGTGTGTGTGTATTTCACATAGGTATTTTCCTTTCCAAAGCTTATTGTGTTTTGAAGTGGTTTCTGTTTCCTGATAAATCTTCCATAACGATGTCAAGACATTCTGTATTCCCTAAAAGACCACATGAAGAACAATGCATGAACTTTGAATATTTTTCCCTTAAAACTGCAAGGAAGGGTGGGTTCAGGGTACCTTCCTCAACACATATCCGCAGGGTATTAACACTCTAATAAATTTGGAGGGAAAAAACCTTATATTATTCTGAATTCTGCTTCAGACAGGTTATTACAAAGGGTCAACATGTAAAATATAAATCTGAAATAGCATTATGAAAATAGTGTTGAAGTACCTGGTACAGTTTCTTGAGCAGCTTCTGCATCTAACAAAGTAACACGTGTTCAGCAGGCTTTTCCAAATACTGTCACTGAAAAGTGATGGGAGATGTCATTCTGTATGTTTTTCATATTGGTTAGTAATAAAGCATTGTTGGCCAATAGGAAAGGAAGATAGGAGGGACTAGGAGACAAGGAGGAAATAAGAAGTAGGAAGGAGGAGTCAAGATGGAGAGTCTGGAGAGAGCTGGACACCAGCCACCTCCCCAGTAAGAGAAGGCCATGTGAATATACATAGATCAGCAAAAATGGGTTAATAATTAAAGGCAGAGCTAGCCGATAAGAAACAAGTAACCGGGCCAACAGAATTATATCTAATACAGAGTCTCTGTGTATTATTTGGGACTGGCGTGGCGGCGGGACAAGACCAGGCAGCGGGCGGAAAAACCGTACTCGTTACAGAAAAGTATCCAACTTGTGGTTATTAGTGGGTTTGATCCTTTTCTTCTTGTGTGTGTGTATGTGTGTGCATGTGATTATGTGTATGTATGTGATGTATGTGTGTGTATGTGATGTATGTGTGTGTGCATGCATGCTCATGAGTGCATGGGTGGAAGTCAGGGTAACCATGACTTTAATGCTTTCTACTTTATTGTTACTGTTTGAGAAAACTTAAAAACCATAAAATATCAGATGCTCCATGAATTTATCATCCTTGTGCAAGGGCCAGGCTAATTCTCCTTATACCTTTTTTAAAACTTATTTTTATTTTATGTGCATTGGTGTTTTTGCAAGCATATATGTTTGTGTGAGGGTGTCAGATGCCCTGGAACTGGAGTTACAGAAAATTGTAAGCTGCCATGAGAGTGCTGGGAATTGAACCTGGATCCTCTGGAAGAACAGCAAGTGCTCTTAACCACTGAGCCATCCCTCCAGCCCTCTTCCTGTATCTTTTTTTAACTTTAGTATTTGTGATACCAAAACAAGCTGTATTTTTAGAAGATTTGACACAACAATCAGTTAAAATAAAGCCCAAGCCCAGAAATGTGTCCATCATGCCAGACTACTTTAATAATTGAAAAACTTAGATCCAGATCTTGCAAAAAGTTAGATTATCAAATTCTGAAGGGAAAAAAAAAACAAACAAACAAAAAAAATCTTATTATAAGTTAATGGTAAAAAAAAAATTATTGGTAGAACAAATGAAAAACACAAATTGTGAGCATTGTGTATAAATAATAGACTTTTGCATAATGACCTACCTATCTGCAAAAGGGAGCCTTAGCCTGATTTTGATTACTAGACTTTGTGTTCTGATCATAACTGGTTCACAGGCTCACAGCTTCTCACCTTCATTCTATTTCTTTTGTTTCAGAAACTCTTGAAAAGCACAGTCTGAAAGTGAGAGAATTTTCTGTTTACCACTCCTGCAACCATGAGCAGTAACGGGACAGACTTCACCATCGGCTACCTCTCCTCTGCTGTAGCAATTCTCTTGTTTGGCTCCAACTTTGTACCACTTAAAAAATATGATACGGGTGATGGTAATTGTTTTTTTGTTTTGTTTTGTTTTGTTGTTTTTAACCTAAACTTGCATTTAAGTCTCTTGGCTACTTGTTTTTGTTTTATCTTTTAAAAATACCAGCTTAAAAACTAATAAGTTTTATTGATCATAGTATCTAGTGAATAGAACTCACATAAATCATCTCACAGTGCCTATTGGGGAGTGAGTCAGGACAGGGAGGCCAAATTATACTTCAGGAAAATGTCAGGTGGGTATCACTGGAAAAGCTCCTTGGCCATGACTGCTGTGTTCATAAAATGGGTATGTTATGGCCAGTTCCACTATCAGCATTCATTTGAAAACCAATTTTCAACACAGCTGATAGATGAGAGGCCAATCTGAGCATAACACACACCTGTTTACTAGTGAACAAGTTCTTCTTTAATAAGCCATGAGGCAAATAGAGAGATGATCCTCGCTAAAGAAAGAAATGAGCCAAAACATATACATTCCTCCACACAAAGCTGTGCACCAGGCTTCCTCAGTTTACCACATGTGCACACACAGACATACATCCTTTGCCACAAAACTGTGGCAAAGATCACAGGCTTTCTCAGTTCTCCACACATGATCCCCAAGTGTATGTATGTGTTGTGCGTCATGCCCCCCAAATCTGATGTCAGACCCCTATTCCAGCATCCCTGCTGTGATCCACAGGCTTCGTTCCTTGCTCCCTCCACACAAACCTCCAGTCCTTTTCAAATTAAGGGGTTGTGTTTAGTGTATTATTACAGTACTTAACCATTTAGGTGGTTAAAACTGATGACTGTGTTTATTAATTACTGTTTTCAAATACATTGCTGAAGCAGTTTTTTGGTGTCATCCCCCAAACCAGATTTGATACTGTTCTGAGGTTTTCAACGCATGATTTTGCACAGCACTGTAATTTTTAGAAATGAATTATGTCTTGGTGTAGCAAAACAGGGCAAGCTGATCTTTAGAGAAGGAAAGTAAGAGTTGCTTTTGCCTACCTGATCTCCCTTTACTCAGTGAACACCTGCTGGGAGGCAACTTTCCAGTTATTTTTGTTTGTTGTTTGCTTGTTTGTTTTAGTTTTTTGGAGACAGGGCTTCTCTGTGTAGCCTTGGCTGTCCTGGAACTCTCTTTGTTCAGGGTGGCCTAGAACTCACAGATACGCCTGCCTCTTGCCTCCCAAGTGCTGGGAGTAAAGGTATGTACCACCATGCCCAGCACAGTTATTTTTAAATCTCCCTAGTTCCTTAGACTTTGTACCACTTAGACAAGGGATTATAAATCTTTGCCCCTTGCCTGGACTTTTACAGGCATAGAAACTAGTACAAAAATAGCCAGTAAGGGCAATTGGACGAGCTTTGGGGTTTGCGATCCTGGAGAAGTGTCCCGTTTGTGTGTGTGTGTGTGTGTGTGTGTGTGTGTGTGTGTGTGTGTGTGTGTGTGTGTGTGTCTGAAAACTAAACCCAAGGCCTCTCTCTGCACATATTAGAGTGACCCCCAGCCATCAAGTCTCACCAGCTTTTTGTTTCCAGTTTCTCACTTGTAGCATAAAGTTCCTTTTCCTCTCCAATACTGTTTTGTTGTGTTGGAGGCCAGTAGACATTTTTCCCCCTCTGCTTTGTTGTGAGAATGAACAAAAATAAAAGTCTTCCAAGTTAAAACCAAAAGTGCCACACAGCGTTGCAGCTTCCTTGGCACTTCATTCAAGGTGGGATGTCTATCTCATCAATCCCTAAGTCTTGATGGTACAGGAGCCTTAGATGGCCACTGCCACATTCTTCTTTAGGTGAGTGGCCAGCAGAGGAGCCGTGGCCTGGAAGGTTAAATCTTGGGCTTGTAAAAATCTGTCTCATCACAGGAGTTAAACTCCAACTTCATGAGCCACAAATGGCCACTTTGTCTGTTACTGTTTGGAAGGTCTCAGTGCATATTTTCACAGAGGCAGTGAGGCTGGCATCTGAGTAGAAATGCAGCTTCTGTCTTCTCAAAACTCTGAGAAGGTGAAAGAATAGGATGTTAAACAAGAACACACCATGGGCCTTGGTGTCAAGCATCTAAAGTTTATGGTCCAGTTAGAGATGCACCTACCAGATTTTGGACTAAGTTACTCAAGTTCAAGTTTGCTTTTTTGGTGTCTGAGATTGGGTCAGTTATGACTTTGAGTAGTTGTAAGAATAAATGTGCCACATGCCCACTGTGGGAACATTTCATGATTTGTGCTCTTTCTTGTAAGAATATCTTACAGATTTTCTTAAACATGCATAAACTCAAATCATTCTGCCAAGTGATGCCAGGCTGTCTTGTTTCCAGGAATGTTCCTCCAGTGGGTTCTCTGTGCTGCCATTTGGTTGGTCGCCTTGGTGGTCAACCTGATACTACGCTGTCCTAAATTCTGGCCTTTTGCAATGCTCGGTGGCTGCATTTGGGCAACAGGTAATGTGTGTATTCACCCAATAGAGTGGCCGCACACTCATATTCACAACCAAGAGAAAGAGCACAGCGGTCACAGTCATGAAATGCAGATAGCAGACATGGGCTGTGTATTGGTTTCCTTTCAGATATTCCTGGGAATTCCCTGATTTCCCCCCTTTAAATGTTGTAGGTTCCTGGTAGAAAACGGTAAAGATAGTTGATCTTTTTAAAGTATAACTCAGAAGCCATTTTATACATTCAGCCTTTCCCCATCATGTTTATCAGAACATGTATATTAAAGAGTAATCCTCTGTTAACACCATTTTTAGACCTTATCCTTAAAAGTTGGCTGACAGAGGCATGTAATCATTTTGAGTAACTTTGAACAAAGAAAACAGACAAACAAAAATACTTTTGTTGCTTTATCAATTACTTAAAAGTATATAGTAGAATTTATATTTCCAGTTAGCCAGTCAGAAATTGTTCTTTTCTCTATATAAACTCACCCTAAAAATCTTTATTTGAAGCAAATAAAATTTTAAATGTTAAAATCCTACTGTTTACCCACTTGAATCTTCAAGGGACTTAGGGTCTTTATTGCTGTGAAGAAACGCCATGACCACAGCATTTCTTATAAAGAAAACATTTAATGGAGTGGTGGTTTGTAATTTCAGAGGTTCAGTTCATTATCATGGTGGGGAGCATGACAGCATACAGGCAGACGTAAATGGCAGTCCTACATCTTACAGGGAACAGGAAGTTGACTGAGACACTAGGAGGTTCCCACAGTGATACACTTCCTCCAATAAGGCCATACCCACTCCAACAAGTCACACTTCCTAATGGTGCCACTCCCTACAAGATTATGGGGGCCAACTACATTTAAATTACCACAGAGACTAAATGATTTAGTAAGATGTATTAATGTGAGATCAAAGTAAGTATAACCTTACATTTCCATTAGACTTTACATGATCATACCTCACATGTGCCTCTGTGATTGTTTACCCTGTGAAATTGGGAGAATGAACAGCATTCACTCATTCCCTGTAGGCTTTTGGAGGCAGAATTGAACCATGCAGCCCAGACTGGCCTAGAACTCTTGAGTCCTCTGGCCTCTACTCCCGATGGAATTGCAGATGAAACACATCTCATTTTAGCCAACCTGCAGAAGATTATTTTTGGTGAAAGCTGGTGCAAAGTATGGAATACTTCATGAATCTGTATGTGTCCATGTACAAGGTGCATGCTGACCTTATCTATATCACTCCACTTTTAGTATGTGCACTGCCAATGTGAGCCTTTTTTTAATCTTTGAAATTCAATTTTAATTAAATAATTTTAAAATACATTTACTTATATTTTTAAGATAGGGTATTATTATGTAGTATTGGCTAACTTGGAGCTATCTAGGTAGATCATGCTGGCCTCTAACTCTTAGAGGTCCTGAGATTAAAGGCATGTGCTACAACCCTAGTCCATGGTGCAGATCTTTACAGACACAAGAAATTCTGTCTCTCAAGCATGTCCCACTATGACTATGCTCAAGGTGAGGAAGTAGGCAGCCAAACTTGAGAAATGTCATCACATTCTGGGCACAGAAGACAGAGAGGAGGGAGGTGTAAGGACTTTATTGTGAGTGGTTAAAAAAGGAGACACCAACACCTTGACCAGGAGAACATTCCAAAGGGGAAATAATTGGAGCTGGGTACCATGTGAGTTTAAAGGCTCTAACATTCCCATAGTGGAGGTCACTTACTTGCAGAATTTCTTCAGCAGTTCATGTACAGCTCTGAAACTCAAGTTGCTGTAGACTGGAGATGTGTTACAGAGTACACAGGCCCCTCATCAACAGCTGAAATCAAGAGACAAAGGTGACTCACAAACCTAAAGAAGAAACCTGTGGGTAACTGCAGGACTGAGTCGGGTGGCAGAGAAGGTAGTCTATTTGTAAAGAGCAGCAAGGAGATGGGTATGGTGGAGCAGCCATAGCCCCAGCTACTGGGGAGTGAAGGATAAGATCTCTTGAGCAAGAGTGGGAGCTAGCCCGTGCAGCAGGGCAAGACGTTGTCACCAACCATGCTAACGACAACATTCAACACCATAATAAATTTGACCCTGAGTGACCCTCAAGAGCATAAAGCAATGGCTGTGAGAATCTGGAAAAAAACAGCCAGTGAGTACAGAGCACATTCTGAAGTTGAGTTGGGGCAGAAGTTGAAGCTAGAAAAAACAAACAAACAAAAACTAATTTAACTTAGAAATGCATCTTTTGTACCAGAAGTAACCCTTTTTTTCCTGTGTATTGTACCTACAGGGAACATTGCTGTCGTCCCAATTATCAAAACCATCGGTTTAGGTCTTGGGATCCTCATCTGGGGATCATTTAATACCTTAACTGGCTGGGCAAGCTCAAGGTAACACACTTCAAATGATCTCAGCTAAGATTCCTGCACCCTGCATTCAATGTACACTACGGTTTAGCCATATCTGGAGAAATAACATGGTTCTTACTCTCAGATTATGGCTGTAGCACATAGCCATGTCTTTGTAAATGACCAAAATATGGCAAAGGAAATCAAAATTAAAAGATCTGTGTCTGGAACGCAGGTAGAGAGAGAGAAAGTCAGCTGATGTCTCCTTTCTCTCTCTACTGCGTGATGGTTTGATAGACATGCTTCTGTGCATCGTTCTCACCTCGTTTTTACAGTTATATGGAGTAAGCTCTAGAAGAGAGCTGACACCCAAAGAGGCTGAAATGCTGAAGCTCAGGTTCTAGCCAGGTACCATTTCTAAAGTTAGATGTTCTTCCTGACAACAGAGCACCGATCTGTGGCTCCATCTCTCCAGCGTTTAGTAAAGATTTACTGAGATGTAGCTATATACAGACATTTTAAGTGTCATTGTCTGTGACTGCTTTTTACAGTACAGTGGCTGAAAGAATGGAGACTACCACACCAAAACACTCTGGATCTATAAAGAGGACTTTGCAACCCTAGCTAGAAAGCTGTGCTGTTCAAAGGGTTTATCAGGAGCCGCAAGTGGCCTTCCCATTGAAACTTAAGCGAATTAAAAGGACAGATTTGGACCTTATGCCTCAGTGGTACTAGCCACATTAGCAATGGGTCTCCCATTTCACACAGGGCATGGATGGAAACACAATACTATCACGGTTAGTATCACATGTACTTCTCATGTGTGGAGAAATGAGAACAGAGAATATTGTTCTTGCCTCTCCCTGTACTCAAAACTATAACTACCCCAAAACAAGGCAAATGAAGCTACTAACTTCCAGTGTATACATCCTTTCCCAGCCTTTTACTCCCACCTGGCATTTTATTAATAGAATGCATTTTCTGTTGCCTCATTCCTTTACCCTTGGGTAGATGTTCATGATGATTGCTAACAATTATGACAAAGTCAAACCATGATGAGTAAAAAAGAATGTAAGTTGATGTCAAAGAATAGGAATTTTTAACCAAGATGTCATTTTAAATACCTCAAATATTATAGAAGAGCTTGATATGCAGCTTATGTTAGAGCATTGTCTAGATGTGCAGACCCCAGCATTAAGATACATGTGTGGTCACATGTACATATACACACACACTCATGCACGCATGTGATCACACACATTTTCCATGGTAGTTTATTGATTGGCTTTTAGGTAATTTGGTTTCTGTCATTTTTGTTTTTGTTTTGTTTTTTTAATAGAATCTCTATATGTAGCCCTAGCTGGTCTGGAAATCAATATATAGACCAGGATGGCCTCACACCCACAGAGATCCACCTGTTTCTGCCTCCCAAGTGCCGTATCCCAGACTCTGAGGATTACAGGAATGTATCACCATGCCTCATCCACTATTTGTTTTTCCACTTTAATGTGGAAATTAGAGGCAGAGGATAGAAAGTAAGTAACTTATCCAAAGGTAGACAGTGCATAAAAGAGCCAAGACTTCAACATCAGCCCCTAGCCTAGGCTCTTAAGCATTGCTCTAAGACACTTTCACAGTACCTAATTTGATATTCCTCTGGATTTCCAGGTTTGGCTGGTTTGGGATAGATGCAGAAGAAGTGTCAAACTCCATGTTGAATTACTTTGGAGCTGGGCTGTCAGTAGTAAGGTCCGCAGCTACTACTCATGGCTATTCGCAGTGCTCTCTAAAGATTGGTTTTATATTTATTTTATTTATGTGTATGAATGTTCTACTTACATGTATGTGCATCATGTGTGTGCCTGGTGCCTAAGGAAAGCAGAAAAAAAAGTGTTAGATTCCCTGAAACTGCAGTCACAGATGGTTGTGAACTAACATGTGGTTGCTGGGAATCGAACCCTCATTCTGGACGAGCAGCCAGTGCTCCTAATCACTGAGCCATCATCTCTCCAGCATCTCTCTAGTGCTAGTGCCTTTTTTTAAAAACCTATATTTCATAAACTTTGCGTAAGTTTCTTGATTCCTAATTTTCAAAAACAAGCCTTATTTCCAGAAGAAGAAAAACCAAATAAGGGGGAGTCAGGAACTCCAGTTTTGGTTCTGAAATGCTCTGAGAAACTGGAAAATGTCACCTAACCACTCTGAAGTTCAGTTTCAATGTCTAGGCTAGCTAGAGCATCACTCGTGAATTGCTCGTGAAGGAGAGCCAGGCTGTATTAAGTTAATTTGCTTACAGAAGCATGCTATCCAAGTCAGTATTCTACTTGTTTCCTATATGCCCCTGGCATGGTCGCTATTTCCATTTCTCCTCATCCAAGGGGTATGCTGTGCCCTCAGTGGATGCCTGAAACACAGGAGTATCAAATGTTACAACTCAATGCTTTTTCCATTTTAACTAAGCACCAAGGCTATACTTTTATAGTCTCAGTGTGAAGAAAAAAAAGAAAAAAGAAAAAGCTAGCAGAAATATCTTTTCCTTACAGCTTTATGTGTTAGCTTTGTTACTATAGATCTTAGCATCTTTAGTGCAGGTTTTTTTTTTTTTTTTCCTCCTTTTCTTTTAAAGCTGAGAACGTTCACCTTTTCACTGAGAGAGAACACCCAATGGGTCGTCTTTGGCATGCTGCATCTGTCAGGTTGCTACACCACTCTTGTGATTTGTGTTCAGGTTAGCTGAATCCAGCGCTGCAAATCACTATGGTGGATTGGATTTGACCAAGGGGACTACTGCACCTGACTAAGTGCTGGGTACTTCTTTGGGGTGGCTAACTTGGCAAAGGGGCACTAATGCATGGCCTCAGACAAGGAGACAGCAGCATGCTATGTAGGGCAGTTCACAGGTTAAAATGTAGGAGTGTGTATACCCTGAGTTTAGCAAGGCAGATCATGGCTAACTACAGAGAGCTTTGCAGCCCACTGATTCCCTTGTCCTGTTCTCCCACTTAATTCTTTTTAACACGGTTATCACTTTCTCACCTCACACATTCTCTTTTGAATACCTAGTTTTCCATGCCTCTCCTTCTACTTGTGTGTACTGTATCAATGGGGATGGAAATGACTTTGGATCTCTACTACACAGTGGCATGTCACCACTAAAACTCAAGCAAGAATTAGGTCACCTTAAATTCAGTCACCTGTTCTCTCTGGATTCCATTTATACCCACTGTCAGTGCAGCACATAACAGATAGCATTGCCTACAAAGATTTTAGTACTTTCTTAGTCTTCAGGGAAAGAACAGTATAGTTCCCTTCCTCCAGTTAGGGTGCTTTTCCCCAGCCACATTCCTGAACAATCTCTTTGTCATTGAAATGTTGCCTTAGAGAGTAGTCCCTTGGCAATTGGGGGCGAATAGCAAAGCTTATTCTAAAACTATAAATTCTTTACACATTTGGTTAGAGGCAGTTTTATGTGACTTATACAGTTCACGTGGAATTCTAGCTTTCGGTAGTTCTGAGACAATTTCTGCACATTGTAAAATTCTAATTTAGCATGTCTAGTTTTAACTTAATGGTAATAATTTAAGGTTGATCTATACAGTGCACTAAGTACTCTCCAAATTTTTTCTTTAGAAGAACAAAATTTTCCCTAAAATTACTCATTCTGCCACTTCTATCCATATGGCCTTGGACAGATATTTTCTCCAAGCCCTTGGTTTCTTCATCCTGAAAGAGGGAGTAATGCTAGTAGCAATCTTGTAAGATAATTTGAAAAATAAATGCTTTAAGACCTTTGTATGTCTAGACACATGGTTTAAGCTCTGCATATAAAGTTGTTTCCATTGTTATTCACTATTTGCTCTGTAGTAGAGATCATCAACTTAAGTGAAAAGGTTATGATAAACCAGTCCTATGGTTTGGGGGCTCTGGGGAAGCTGCACAGAGTGACCAGAGAATGGAGGAGCAAAGCCATCTACCACAAGGAACAAAAAAGAAAGGCAGAGAGACCCAACAAGCCCTATTAAAGGCACACTCTTAATCACCCAACTTCCGATCCAGCCATCTCTTAAAGACCAACTGCTTCCCTGTAGCAAGTAGACCAGTCACCAAAAACCTTTAGCATAGCCTTTTGGAGACACTTAGAACCCAAATGCCTGCACTATTATATTCACACATAGTTGCCCCTTGGGACATTTGTTGGTGGCTCAATTAACATTAAATTAGGTGGTGCACTGAAGGCATTTTGTAGTTCTGTTAAGAGAGGGATCTGCAGCAAGGGGATACAGAGTTTTCTTCCTGTGAGGCAATCAGGCCCCACCTATATTGCTCTCCTGGATGGAACTGCAGGACTCTTTTTATTTATTTTGTTTAATAGCTTTTGGGTTCATTTTGAAGGGCATTGATTGAATGAATTTAGAGATCTTGGAGTGTGAAGAAAGGTTACAGATGTGACTGTGTTCTCTCTCTCTCTCTCTCTCTCTGTGTGTGTGTGTGTGTGTGTATGTGTGTGCGTGTGTCCGTGTGTGTGTGTGTGTGTGTGTGTGTCCAGTAAATCTCACTAGAATGTATTTCCCTTCAGTGCCCTCACGTTTTTGTTCATCAAAAGTGAAATTGAGGCTCCATGCAATGTGGACAACACACCACTGATGACAGAACCTGTGAGTATTGTGTGGGACAACTGGATTTGAAACATAAGATTGGGATGTATCTTAGTTAGAGTTGTTATTGCTATTAAGTGACAGTGAGACCATGGCATCTCTCATAGAGGAAAACAATTAGGACTGCCTTATAGTTCAGAGGCTTAGTCTGTTATCATCATGGTGAGAAGCATGGCAGCGCACAGGCAGACATGGTGCTAGAAAGGGAGCCAGAAATTCTACATCCAGATCAGCAGGCAGCAGGGAGAGAGAGAGAGAGAGAAAGAGAGAGAGAGAGAGAGAGAGAGAGAGAGAGAGAGAAGAGAGGAGAGAGACTGGGGCTTGAGCTTCTGAAATCTCAAAGCCCAGTCCCAGTGACACACTTCCCTCAACAAGGCCTCATTGCCTAAAAATGCCCCTCCCTGTGAGCCTCTGGGGGTCATTTTCATTCAAACCAAGACAGGATGTAAGAACAAAACAAAACTCTGACATATGTGTGAGAAGGTGCTATTTTCCATCCCTCATGGCTATAAATATAGTTCAGCATATTTATCAGAAGTGGGTCATGTTTCCATGGTGATACTTCTTCCTAAGCATAAGGCTGACTTTTTTGTCAAAAATCCCTACAAGGTATACAAACGCAGCTTTTCATTAATGATACATTCCGGGTGTGTACAGCCCTGTGGGGAGATGAGAGAGTAACTTGGAAAAAGGAGGCAGGAGGATGAGGAGTAGACAGAAGGAAAGAATGGGCAGAGGGGGCTACTGATAGTCAGTGAGATCATGTGCCAGTGGGAAATGGACTTGATTTTCTTTCCATTTATCTTTTTATTTTTAACATGTTTTGCTTAATGACAATGACAGAAATGCACAAGGAGACACTGTTTTGACCATGAAGAATATAAGTTGGTATGGAATAGTCAATCAGTGTTTAACAGGGCCAACCTTAAGAGACATAACCTGGCCCAGATGTCCAGAGTCCCATTGGAAACTTTGCATGAGGGCAGTCCATTTTGCCAGGAACCCAGTGTCATCCCTTCAGTTTCAGCCATTCTCTCCATCTACTCAGGGGGCCCTAACTGCTTGCCACCCTTTGTGCCCACACCTAGAGCCTACAGGCTTTGCCTCCCTCTCAGCTTCTTCTCTGTGTCTTTACTCTTCCTTCCCCTTGCCTTCTTCCCCTATTCAAACATCTATCAACCAAGGTGGAGGATACCTTCATTAAACTGACCCAAAAAGAAAGACAGAAAGGGGATGTTAATCCCTGGGCATCTTTAAGCACTGTTTGCTTAAGAAAAGATGAGTTGGCCCCAAAAGGATGCTCTTGTTTTCTTACCTGATCCAGGGATCTAGATGCCTCCCAGCTAATCACCCTTTGAACAAAGGAACAAAGTATAAAAACAAACAACTTGAAAAGAGTCACACAGTAGGCCTACTAGATCTTCTAGGCAGGGCCAAGGGGTACAAACAACCAAGATTAGTGCTAGGCGATCATCAGGATGGATGAGGATGCAGGCACAAGCTGGAACTCCACAGCACCAACAGAGGAAAACCTGACTCAGCAGGGACAGTGAATTCAAATCTAGCTCCTGTCTACACCAAGGACTAGTCAGCTGGAGGGCATAGAAGGTTATAGTCAATAATAGAAATGGCAAATTTCTTCAAATCTGCTCACAGATTTTCCTCGACTTAAGTATTAGCCTAAACTTGAAACATGCCTGGAAGTATTTTAATTCAGTAAAACAAAAAAATTAAAATCATGTTATTGAGTGAAAAAGAAAAATGCTTATTGATCTTGTGCATTCTACTGTAGAAAGTCTGAGCTCTTATTGGTTCTAATTTCTTTACAGTTTATTAAAATACACTAATGACCATGAGAGCTAAGTTTATCAAATAGCTATACATTAATCTGAAAATTTTAAGTGAAAAACTGGAGGGGCGGAGTCAGAAGAGCAGCTCTGAACTCCCAGAGCTGTAGGTGACTTGTGTGTGGGCTAAGGTGTGTTTGAGAGGGGAGAAAAGCCTGGACATCCTTTTGTGGCATTGAAATTGTTCGCTGAAGGTCCTTGTATGTGGGTCTTTCCTATGACTTCCACAGGTGATTAACACAACTGAAGACCCCTGTGCTGATTCCTCCTGGGTGGATAGACTTTCTACCAAGTACCATCGCATTGTGTAAGGCAAGACAACTTTTCTATTGCTGTTTCACATTTGGCTAAAACAGAGGATGCAGAGAGATGTGTTGAAGCTCATCCGATCCCAGGAAGAAAATGATGACAAAAACTCATTTTCACCTCCTGGGGGCAGGGGTTGCTCTTTTCACCCTGCTGAGTTTTAGGTATAGAAGTTGATCATTAAGCTTAGATGCCTCAAGGAATACCAAATGTCTGTAGTGTATCTGATCAGTTAGCCAGTGACAAAATCAACCTTATTTTGTAGGACTTAGGCACCAAAAATAAAGAGGTTGCATAATGACCATGATTTATCACAAGCTAATTAAGCAGTGCTCTCCATTTCCTCGAATCAACCCAGGACCATCACCCTCCTTTCATATGTGACAGTTTTATGATCCCAGGTGTCTGTTATCCACTATAACAGAATATTCTGTGCCAATGTAAGGCCCACCCTTATGTCTCCATCATAAGCATTTCCAGGGATGCATCAGCAGCAGCCTGTCTCACTTTAGGGTGTGGGGTTTTAGTGGTTTGGTTTTTTCTTTCTTTTTTCTTTTTTTCCTGAGAGGGCCAAATTACTTAAAGCATATTACAGAATGCAATTTTCCTTTCACAAACCATGGCTGTTTGAACTTTGTGGAGCCAGAACCATGAAGTAGTTACTTACTTTGTTTTGTGCATGCTGGCCAAACACCCTATCACTGAGCTATACGATCCCAACGTAAAGGCAGCAGATTTGTGGCCTGCAAGGTGGGAAAGAAGCTATGGAGTAAATGCTGAACTAAATTAAATGAATTAAAGAATGAACAAAACTTAATCAAGCTGTGAAAGAAAAAAAAACATACTACCATTTTTGCATTCAGAATGAAATTGTTTGCTAAAACTACCTTTTAAAAACTCTCACAAAGCATGTCTCTCACACTAGAGGAATATTTGTGAAGAGAAAGAGTTTTAGCACTGGGGTTATAGTTCAAAGAATGTAACATAAAATGTTCACTAGAATATGAGAGGCCCAGGGATCCAATCCAAGCACCACCTAAAAAGAAATTCTAATTATACTTTACCTAGTTATGTGTTTGGGCCACTCAGAGCCATGGGATCTTGTCCTTATTCAAGTTGCGGACCTGTAGTGTATGTGGAATGCATTGCCAACATGTACAGAGAATTCTGAACTACCATGTCCTTTAAATGTCCTTAAATAAAATCACTAAAAGTGACAATGAATTTGTGTTTAGGCTGAGGGAAGTTTTTATTTACTTACTTATTTTGTTTTTTGTCTATTTTTGAGATAGCATCTTGCTATGAATTCCATACTTGCTTCAAACTTGCAATCTCTTTTCTCTCTTTCTGAGATTACAGGGTTGTATCACCATGCCTTGAAGGCAGGGGTTTTGCCTAAAACTGCTTGCCTCTTTTAAGTCATTCTTTGTATGAAGATAGAGACACTGTCCTGAAATAGCCATCTTCTCCCTTACTTCCACATCCCTGGAAATGCCCATACCCATTTCACGAATCCAGTTCTCAAGACCAAGGACTTGGCATTGTTTGAAATGAAACATTTTTTCTTCTCAGAACAGAATTTTTTTTACCTAAAATATTCAGATTCTCTGGCTCAATTAGCACTTCTTGGCAAAGCCATAATCAAGTCTTTCTCTGTAATCAACCGAAACAAAAATGCATTTGTCTTTAGTCTGTCATGGTCCCATGGATCCTGGGGCATATTTTTGAGGGGACCTTGAGGAAGATAATGCTCATCCACAAATACCTCATACATTAGTTTATTTGCATGGCAAATGGCCTAAGGATAGCAATACTCTCAGCTCATGTATAAAGGCCATTTGCCTGTCATGCCCTTCCACCATGGCATAGTAGACTAAGTCTACATTTCTGTTTTCATGACCTACTAGACGCTGGGCTCAAGACAGAAGGGTAGCTTCTACTAAACTGCTTAAAACCTGTATGTTGAAGAAAGCCTTACTTGTGGTTCTAGTTGTATGTTGAAAACATTGCCTCTGGCCAAGATTCGCAGGGATTCTTTTTTGTTTCTTAAGGGGCTGCAGCCTTGCAGTGATATCTGGAATACTCTATGGATCTACATTTGTGCCCATCATTTACATCAAGGACCACGGCAAGAGAAATGAGAGCATATATGCAGGCGCTAGTCAGTATGGTGAGTGAGGAGGTTTTCCTACTTCATGAGCACATTCAACGTTACTCCATTAACAACAGAAAAAGAGCTATAATTGAGTCAGTACTGTCGTGTGCATTTGTCTGTTCAATTGTAAGTGCTGAATTAGAAGGCACCAGGAATAAAGATGGCAGGGGCCTTTGGAATATTAAGATCTATAACATACAAATTAAATCAGCTACAGTCAGGATTCATTTCCACTGTTGGGATCTCAGCATGGGGTTCCCAGCTTTCCACTAAGATTCCAAGATTATGAAGAGTCATTTATGTCCAACAATGGCCTGTGGGAAGAGATGTGCTCTATTCTTTTAGAAAGCTACAGTGTAGTTCTTAAACCAAGTAAATGTCAAAGTATAAGCCTATTCAGTGAAAGGTTATTAGTTTTTCAAGCACCAGGTGGTCCACTGAAAGGGTCAGCATAACACCTGCAGTTCTAAAATTAGTATCTCAGGAGCCACATTCCATGCACCAACCCTGGGAAAGCTGAAAGGGAGATAAATGAGGATCTACTGTAGGGGTCCTGTGACCCCATGAAAGCACGACATACATAAGGAAACGAGACAAATACTAAGTTCTGGGTGGGGTGATGTGAAAAAGCAACGTGATTTATAACCAGATAAGGGAGAAATTTGAAACACAAAACTCCTAAGAAGCAGGTGAGGCAGGAAAGTCACAAGCTCAAGGCCAGTTTAGTCCCCACAGGGAGAAGTTGAGTTGGCTGCTAATCTTGAGGCTGTCCTAGCCCATTTCCTATTCCCTCTACTGACCTCTTTTATTTCAAAATTTTACATAAATTATTTTTTTAGATTTCTGTTTGTTTTTCTTTTTAAAAGATAATAACTAAAGTAAAACTTAATCACTGGAAGGAGAAAAAACAAGACAGAAGGAATAGACAGAGCCAAAGTGAGCTTGACATCATTGCAGAACACTTGTATACTTGCTTGTAACAAGCATGAATTTGGCTCTCAGAATTTTCTTAGCCACAGGGGAAATCAGTTCAGCCCGGGAAGTCAGTGAAGACAGATTAAAAACAATTGACTCTTTAGGAATAAAGCCCCTCTTGGTCCTGGGACATAATGAACAATGTCCTCAACTGTCTGTCTATATAAATAGACAATGAGTTTTTAGGGATTGTTCCTACAACTCTGGCTATATAGTCTCACAGGAGCACACTTTATTCCAGTTTGTTAAAAAACCATCCTCAGTGGGTATTACTGTATTTTTTTAATGACACACATATATCTTATGCTCCATTGTAAGGATTTTTGCAGATACTAACTGGATAGTCCCACCTCCTTCCATGGGTAGATGGATGGATTTCATTTCTTTGTTCTACAATATAATTTCAGATTTAGAAGAAGAAAGACACATGCAGTTCAGTTTTTCATCCAAAAACACACCAATCATCTTTGTCAAAACTGTAGATGATACAAGCATTGACTCCAAGGCAGACATCCTAGCCAAGCCCCCACAGAGCACCCATCTGCTCAGGCTGTCAGCGATATTAGGGTTTCCCAAGATGGGCCACCATCATGTGTCATTACAAATCTCCACAGTGGAGCTAGTTTGTTATAAACAGTTAGACAAAGCTGTCCATGGAATAACTTCCAAATCTTTATGACCTCCCGTACAGCTGCCATGGGCAACAGACCATGTAGTTTGGCCACATACGAGTGCCCATTTGATTCACAAACTCCCCTCCAGCCTACATCAAAGTTTGCTACAGTAATAGAGATAGTGCTGAATGCATATTCCTTCTTAAAAGGCAACTTCATATTATAGTCAGACAATATTCACCATTTTTTTCTGTGATTTCCAGGGCTACTGTGAAAAATAGCCTAATAGATTTCACTGCAGTTAAGTTATTAATATTTCTAGATTTTAAATCTGTTTATTAATAATTCTATACAAACAACACATGAGAGTGAGGATAATTAAATCCTGTACACTTACTGTTAGTTTCTGGGAGTGTGTTTTATGTTACAGAATTAAGGTAGCTGGAATAATGTTTGCATATTGTCATCTGTGTTTTCAGATTTAGACTATGTTTTTGCACACTCCAGTGGCATTTTTCTTACAAGTACAGTCTACTTTGTGGCCTATTGTGTAGCCATGAAAAATAGACCAAGGCTTTATCCAGAGGCAGTCTTACCAGGTAAGAAAAGAAAACATTAGCTACACAAAATCTTACTACTCTGTGAAAGTGCCACCTTCCACTAGATGAACTTGGATAATCATTAGAAGGGGAGGAGAAGAAAGGGGGGAGGGAATGGGAAGGGAAGGAGGAACAGGGGTTGGGGAGGAAGAGAATATTCTCTTAAAGGCTTTGGTCTAGTTCACCATAAAATATTAAGTATTGAAAAGTACCATGAAGTTGTTCACAAGATGTTGATCATCAGCACAGAACCTACAACTGTCAAACAATGAGTTTTGATGTTTCCTGTGTTAAAAGCTCTTCTATTAGGGTCATCAGTCTTAACTATATATTTTCCTACCATTTCAAGATTTATATAACAACTCAGAGCCTCTATTTACAAAAAAAAAATAATAATCAACAGATAAAAGTATGCAGTCACTTAGAAAAATATAGTTTATTCAAAAAGTTAAAGTGGGGTGGGGAAGATGCCTGGAAAGGTAACAGAAAGTGTGTTTGGGGTCATAATCCTTCAATCATTGACTGTTGAGATAGTAACAGTTTCTCACTGAAGAGTTCAGCATAATTCAGTTTGGAACATGCATCCACAAGTAAATAATTTTATATGAAATAGAGCATAAGTGACTTGATTATTTTGAATGTCAGGATAGGCAATAATATAGAGTATTTATTAAACACCTGGCTTATAGCATTGTGAGTTATGTAGCTGGGTTTTTCACTTAAAGGTCAGGACTCTTGTCTTCCCCCAGCTCTAATACCATTCTCATCTTCACTTCATAGACATGTCAAATCCAGTACTTGTTAGGACCCTCTCGTATACCCTGTCCCTACCTCAGCTCCTCCTCCATTCAATAAAGGGGGTGGCTGGTCCTCATCCCACAGTAGCAAAACAGAGGAATCACTAGGTTTTGAGCCTAGCTCAAAAACCCGTAAGGGCCAACATCATTCATAAGAACGCTTTTATTTTTTAATCTGGGTTTTCGCATTCTGCCTAAGGGATGAGGCTCAGCACAGGATCTCACCCCTCCCATGCACACTCCCTTGTGTTCCAGGCTTGCTGTCAGGGGTGCTGTGGGCCATCGCCACCTGCTGCTGGTTCATAGCCAACCACTCTCTGACTGCTGTGATCAGCTTCCCAATCATCACTGCTGTAAGTGGCTGATCTCCTGGGTTGTTCCAACAGTAAACCTACACAAGCTGCCCCTCTCCATTCTCCATGGTCTCGATTGCTCCTGAGTGATGTTTGTAACCTCTTTTTAGCAGGTTTGCAAATGCCTACGTAGTCTTCATATGTCCCTGCAGTGTTTCCTTTGGTCACTTTACCTAATGTTATCTGGGACACATTATGATTTTCTCTTCATGACTCTTTCAACCTCCCATCCAAGTACTAACCAAGCCTGGCCCTGCTTAGCTTCCTAGATAAGACTAGATCTGGCATGTTTGGGGAGGTATGGCTGTAGACTAGAACGAAGAGGATAAAGATTCCTGAGTAACTAGTGTGATGTTGGTATTGGTCTGTCATTCCCCAATTTCCTCCCTCTCCTTCAAGGCGTGGGCTCCTCATTTGATTTGGATTCTGAGGATCAGCACTTTACATTGCTGATATAAAGCAGTTGCTTTGACCTATTTCTCCGCCCCTTCGATGCTGACTTTGCAGAGGCCGACAAATGGAAAGCAACACATTTTTATTTTTCCCCGCATATGCTAGAAACAGTGCAAGCAAACTTGGTTGGGCCAGCCCTGTAGACAGTGGGAGCAGTCCTGGGAGAGAGAACACTGTGGAATTGTTTATTGAAGCTCTTCCAGAGGCCCTGCAGGGCTCGAAGAGGAGTCATTAAAATTCTGGTCTCGTATGTCTTTTTCACCAAGATCACAGCTAAGCCAACCCAACAGTTTTCCTTGCTGGTGAAAAACAACAACAGATCTCAGCAGCTTCACATTTTTGAGTTATAGGAACATGTCTTTTCTCTTGTTGCTTCTCATCTCATATTAAATACATATATACATATATGAATATATATAAATAAATATATCTGTAATATATATATTACTTATATAAAGAATATATAATAAAATTAAAGTTCTTTATTTAAGGGTCCTGGACTTATCGCTGCGCTGTGGGGTATCTTCATTTTCAAGGAAATACAGGTAAGGATAAGGAAATGATTGCCATCCCCAAATGTCCCTCTCCTCTAGGAAACTGAGAACTTTGCCTAGATTCTTAGATTAACAGAGAAATGGACCCACTGAGGGCATCATTGTTTGCTGAGAGATATCATGAAGCTCAGCAAAGTGCTCCAATAGTTGGGCATACAGCACTTAAAACTGAAGCATCCATTTTTTTTTTAACTTAATTGCATCCACTTAGCGTCCTTTCTCATTTACCAAGCACATCTGGAGAGCCTTAGAATATATCTATTCTTTGGACATAGCTACTGAGTGCCTATTCTGAACTAGTCCTAGTGGCTAGGTTAAGGTTGAAGACTTCTGAAAACAAAGACAAAAATTTTAGAAGACTAGAAGTGCTAGTGTGGGATTCACATACATGGGAGTGTGTGTGTACAGAAGCTGACCCCACCAGGCAGGTCTGGGGTGCTGCACTTCGCTTATAGAGAATTAGATTCAGTCTTTAGTGCTGGGACTCCCAGAAAGTTAGACAACTTACCTTACCTAGACCAAACTTAGAAAGCTCTGGTTAAAGGCAAGTTAATATGCTCTAGCCTGATTCTTCATTAAATTGCAAAAGGAACATGTATAATTCTGGTCTTTGAATTACATGTTAAGAGTCATTACTCTTTTTTAGAAACAGTTTTCAATTTACTTTTTTAAAAAAAGTGTATGTGTATATGTCAGTATGTGGGTATGTGTGTTTGAGTGCAGGTGCTTGCAGAGCCCAGAAGAGCTAGAGTTCAGGCAGTTGTAAGCTGCCCCATGTTGGTGCTGGGAACTGAACTCCAGTCCTGGAAGAGCAGCAAGACCTCTTCGCCACTGAGCCATCTCTCTATTCCCACGTGTGATTAGTCTTGATGAGAGCTGAGTTTGGAAGCAGGGCTATCTCAGTGCACCTCTCCATTCTGGGTAGTGCTTCTCTTGTGTCTGGATTTGCTACACAAATTTACCTCTGCTCTCTGAGTTGTTAGAACTGAAGCAAAAGAAATGTCAGGAAAAGATGGCAAATGAGACCAGGAAAACTTCGTTTGCAGAGGGTCCCGCTGTGTTGTTAGGAAAGCTAGAGTCATATGCAATTGTAATTGCCCCTCTTCTGCTAGACTGTGATTCATGGGGGCAGCCATGCCAAGGCATTCTTCCCTAGTCTCTTAAAATAGACCTGGCCAAGGAGCAGCAAATAGGGAAGCCTTCCCCCATGTTTGCATCTTTCCAAGCTCAAACCGGTCTCCCCTCTGTGACCCACTGCTGGGGTCCACAGGTTTTCATACATGCTCCATTGATATGTTGGCCAGGCATTGCTGGGGGAGGTGCTCCAAATGCAGCTCTCAGCTCTGAGGAGCACCCATGAGCAGTACCCAGCCTTCACAATAACTCACTCTTCATAATAAGTCAGTCGACACTCTCCAGAGACACAGCATCACATCTCCCATCTTCTGCCAAATTTTTGCGGTCACCTAAGTAATTTTAGGCCATATGGCTAGCCAAGCTCAATAACCAGCACTATAATGAGAGGAAAGTCACTTGCACTTTCCCTGCAGATATGAAGCGGGCTTTGTCCCTAAGTCCCTATCTCCCCCACACCCATGGTCCTCTCAGAATCCTTGGGTGTCCACTACATGACTATAATTAAATCACTGTCACTTCTTTTCTCTTTATTTATTCTATGTGTATTTTACATCATATATCTTGATCCCACTCATTTCCCTGTCCCTTTGCATCTGCCCTATGCCCCTACATGCCCCCAAAATAAAACGATTTTTTAGAGAATGGAAAAGTAAAAAGGAGGGAGAAAAATAAAAAAAAAATCTTATCATGACAGCTGCAGAATGACACAGTGAGTCATGCAGTAAACCCCTTTGTTCATGTATTTTTTACTTGGAAATGTTCATTGCTAAGAGTCATCAGTCTGGTTCAAGACCTCTAGTTTCTATTACAATGTTGATGCTGGGCCCACATCACCATCACTTCTAAGGGCCCATAGTAGTATTCTATGATTTCCTTATTAGACGATCTAAAACTTGGGAAGGGAGACAAGTTCTGTTGGCAACGAGGTTAACTTGAAACATGAAGACCCGATCCCAGAATCCAAACAAAAATAAAAGTTCAGGTGTGGTGGTGTACACTTCTAATCCCAGCACTGGAAAGGCAATGAAAGGAGGTTCGCTGAGACTCTATGGCTACCCAGCCCAGCCTCGGTGACTGAGGCCACTAAGGAGGACTGTGTATCTAAAATCCATGAAGCATTATTCTGTTTTACTTTAGAGTGTTCAGATCTTGCCTTCCAGCATAATGAGTCTCTCTGTACAGAGAGGTGGACACCCACGGGCCATCATTCAGAAGGAACAGCCAAGACTGAAAGGATACTAGAAATGATTCTATGTGAAATATGGCTGAAGAAGCTAAGATATTGACCAGGAAAAGATGCTCAAGGATGGAAGAGATTGTTTCTCAGTGTTTCAGGGTTTATTCTCAGGAGGAGACATTAAAATCGATCTACATGTACCCCTAAAGATAGGTCTTATAGAAGTGAAATATTCTGTGTACCACAAGATGACGCGGCTGCATCGGGGTGAGCCTGTCCATGCCTCCCATCTTGAATACCAGTAGTCTATACCTAGGAGGACAGTTTATCTTCTTCACTCCTCACACCTCTTTTTCTGTTTTTTTATGTCCATCTCCACCATTCTGTCTGTGTCCATCATCTTTCTCGAGAACCATGGTTGTCTCCTTGGTATCCTTACATTCATTCTGGCCCCTCCAATGTTCCCCATCCTCCAAAAGAGCGCAGGCTTTCCAGATTTGCAAATCTAATATTTTCAGCCCGTGTAGCTTCCTGTTCTTTAATACTTTCTCATTGCCAGGAAAAGTAGGACCCCAGAGCGTAGTAAGACCCACAGGCTCCCAAACTCTCCACAGGCCATTCACGCTCATCCTCAACTTCATGCTCTCACCTGTCCTTGCTCCGGGCACACTGAAATCTCCTGGAAACAGCTGTGCTTCTTAATAACAACAGCCTTTGCACACAAATTCTCCCCTCAGGGAATCTCCACTGACTGCTCCCCACTTTCTTGAACTAAGATGCTTCAGTGTTAGAGGCCCAGCTCTACTTGTCAAACTAGCTCCATGTGGAGTCCAGGAACACATGCACAAACCACCTGGTGGATACTGTTAAAAGCCCTCACCTGTAGCTCTCAGGGCCAGCACTGAGGGTGTTCACACCTGTTACTCAGTGGATAAATCAGTAGGATTCTTGCAGGATTTCCTGGGGGAAACTGTTGATTGCTAGGAAATCTCTCTCTCTCTCTCTCTCTCTCTCTCTCTCTCTCTCTCTCTCTCTCTCTCTCTCTCTCTCTCTCTCTCTCTCTCTCTCACACACACAGAAAGAGAGAGAGAGAGAGAGAGGAGAGAGAGAAGAGAAAGTGTCAGAGTCAAGCCAGCATACCGGTAGCCAAGAGCAGATGACTCAGCAAAGGTTTATGACAATCCTTTTTAAAATATACACATTGTAAATTTAAATTTAAGTCTCATTTAATCCATCCATTCTTTTTTTATTACTCAGGGTCTCCGAAACTACTTACTGATGTTTCTTGCCTTCTGTATCATCTTGACTGGGGCTCTGTGCACAGCTTTTTCCAAAATCTAAGTATTCACAGCAAGACCAGCAGATGGCAGCAGTGGCTAGGAGAACGCCTCACCCACACAGGTGAATACAGCAGACTGCTGTGTAGCAATGGATCTCTGCCGCTCTGGGAATGATGGATAAATGACTGTTTACACCACAAACATGAGAATGAAGAGCCGTGGTGAAAAGCCCTTCCGATGAGCTGTTAATGAAGGCCGGACTTTGCTGGCTCACAGACATGCTGCATTCTTGGACCATCCTGTCTGTGGGTGCTGGTTCCGTCAGTGTCTACTTAGTGTTATAATCCAGAAAATAGGAATAGAGTTTGTACAGAGGAAATTACCACCCAAATGTATAACTTGTCAATGAAGAGAAGAAATAAATACTTTGTTGGTTGAAAGAAGGAACTCAGACTCACCTTACAGAATCCAAGTTCAAAGATGCTAGAGAAAGTAAATGTCACAGCTGCTAACTGAATGTTTAAAAGGTCAATTCATTAGTTTCAGCCAAAAATTACTTTTACTTGAACATCAGCTCTTAACATTCTTAGCTCAAAATATTTTGATAATTATTCCAGATAAAAATCCATCCCCAGAAAGCAAGTCACCACCACTTAAAATGTGTGATATAATGTATACACCCGAGCACACGTGTGTGTGCATGGCTCCAGATATGGAGAACATTCTAGAGTTGCTAAAAATAGAGGTTTTAGTTTATCAGGCTCAATTTAAAGGGAGCATGCTTGTTGGACATAACACCTATATTTTTGTTCCTAAAATACTGCTACTTAAAATCACTTAAATCGCAAGTGTTTTTGCTCATTTTAGCTCATTTCCAGAAGATAAAAGAACACAGCAAATGTATTGATCTGGTTCTTTAAGAAAACAACTAGCCCTGCAAGCACACTTCATTCCCATGGTGTCTGCACCCTTAATATGGAAATCGTGTTTGGCTGTGTCCCTCCTGATACTTGGCTGTGTTAGAGAAACAAAAATTAGCATCCCACACCTGCCTAGGCTTAAACTTCATCGATTCTCTGATGAGTTATATGGCCCTGGACCTGCGCCCTTGGCATGGCATGCTTCCCGTGATGGGGAGATAATGATAGTATATGTCTTTAAGTTTGTTGTTCAGGGTAGTTAAATATGTATGTTCACAAATGTCTCATTGCCTGACAAACACTCTGTACTTATCTGCTATTGTCATCACATGTTAATCGAGGGGAAACAAAGTTTATAGACAGGAAAAAAAAAAAAACTTGGAACTTACCAAAACTACTGTCCGTACTACTCTCATCCCAATTTGTCTCTCCAAATCAGAAATGTCTATGGAGTCCTGGTCTAATCATCAAATTGCTAACACAAACAATATTTAATAATAATGTCTTTTATCCATCTTAGTTTTTACTTGAAATGTCATTAAATTATGTTGCTGTGGCAACTTCTGAATAAATGTATGTGACTGAAAACCTATTTTTCTTCTTTAGATGTATTTTAGAATTGTGTGGCGGGCAGCCTTTAAATGTGCTTTGTGAGATAGCCAAGAATTTAAACAGGAAGTAAGGAAACTGCAAGGAAAAAAAAAAAAAAGACTTGTAAAAGAAAAAGGAGGGATTGCAATGTTAGTAAAAGAATTCTGGGAGAAAAATGCTGTTCCAAAATGGTTACCAAACAATTTATTGTCCGTGGTTATGTTATAGAGGCAGATATGAGTCCTTGGGCCCTCACTGGCGTTTGACAGTGTCTTTTGGAGCAAGGATATGCGGTTGTTAGGAAGGCAAGTACTCCCTTTGGAGTGGTCTGGTGACCTCAGGAGAAAGCGCAAACAGTGCTAGCCAGAGCCACAGGGCCCTTGCAGGTGTCACGAATTGTATGCAGCCTAGTAGGGGGAGGGCTTCCAGTCCTTTCTGCCCTGGCTTCTGTATGTTCCTCCCTGAGTAGGTTTGGTGTTGGTTGGTTTGCTTTTTGTCTCTGCTCCCTACCAATTAACCTAAAGGAGCAATCATCTTATCTCCACTTTGTTTGCTCACCTTTAGAGGTGAGGTTTGATTTCCCTTGTCTTGTACAGCAGGATTCTGCTGTGTGGGACTCTCCTAGTTTTGCTTTCCATTGCACCTTGCTGAAAATGACAACCATGTTTGTACCAAAGAGCTCCTGCCATCTTGTGTTCAGAGAGGAAACAGCGGAAAGTAAAAGGAGCCACCCAAAAAAGGCTGATCTTCAGATTGGGGATCTGCAGAACAGAGAATAGGGTATCTTGGGGTTAGCTACTGATTGGTCTCTATTCCTCTTTAACTTCGCTTACTAAGAATTTGTGACTTTAGCACATCTTTTAGTGCTAAAAGTCATTGAACTGAAAAAGTATGTTGTACAACTGTGTGTCTAGCATTATACTCACAAAGAAAATTGTTACTGATCAAAGTGACCTGCAAAGGAGATCGTCACATGTCATGCTGGGGAAGGCTGAAAAGCTGCTTGTAAAATGCAATCATGTGGACATACTTAGCATTTAGTTGTTATTTATGACCCCTTTTTTATTTTATGACACATTTTGTATTTTTTTTTTTGTCTTTTTGCTTTTATAAATTTTACCTTGCTATGTAAACAATGTAAGAGAACTGGAGCTAGGGGACACAGGACTTCTCTTGGACATAGGCAATGAAGTTGAGTCTGGATGGGAAATAAGCAAATGTGAACAAAGAAAAAAAACTGTCCTGGATGTATGGGTGGAGTCAGTCAGTCATATACAAGGTTGTTTTGCACACTCAGAGACCCCTAAAATGACTGAGAACAGATATGAACAGTCAGCCTGCTTGCACCCTCACTACACGCCCCAGAACATCTCTATGTAAGCTATCGCACAGACTCTTACAACTCTGTCAGAAGCACTATGTAGCGGAAGTTTCTGCCCCATCTGATTCCCACAGTCCTTTAGTCCCAAAGAAACACACTGAGGCTTATAGTAATTATAAACTGTCTGGCTGATGGCTCAGGCTTCTTATTGGCTAGCCCTGTCTTAATTATTAACCCATTTCTGTTCATTTGTGTATCCACATGGTCTTGGCTTTACCGGTGATTCCTGAGTCTCTTGCTTTCTTGGCAGCTGCATGGCCTCTCCATTGAGACCCATTCTCTGTTCCTATTCACATAATTATTCTAGTCTGATAGCCCTGCCTCTATACTTCCTGCCTGGCTACACTCTACCTCTACGCTGGCTGAGACAACTTTATTCATCAACTAATACAAGAAACATATATTCACAGCATACATAAGGACATCCCCCATCAGCACTAGACAAATCTTTTTAGCAACATACTCTACTCAGGATAGGTACACATTTTCCTGTGTCATTTCTGTGTTCCTGTGGGCCTTCCTGCTCCCACCTGAGTTCACACTCCTTCCAGACCCTGCCAACCATGCTTTCAAGTATCTCAAATGTGCAAATGCATTTGAGATCCACCTTTTACATCAGCACTGTGCTGCAGATAAGAACTGCCCCATCTCTAGCATCACAGGCTTCAAACCCTTCCTACACTTTCCTGGGACATTAGCATTCTGATTTCACTAGATATTCTTTGTAATGGTCAATAAGTCATTAAGAGATCAAGGAAGTTTACAATACTGGGTGTAATAGTCTATTCACAATAGCTTACACCTGACTAGTACAGTGTCTGCTAGCTTTTAAAATGGCAAACTTTTAATCCTCTTTAGTCATCACAGAGCAAAAGTGGTCCAGCAAGACAACTGAAGAGGGCAAATAAAGGTACTTGCTGCCAAGCCAGCTATGCCTGAGTCTGATTTTGCAGATTCACATGGTAGAAGGAGAGAAAAAACTCCCACAAGAGAATGCATTTAACTATGAGAAGTGTTCAGCTGAGAAATGGGCATAAGTTCATGTGCATAAATAAGGAATAAACAAATTGTAATAAGTTTATGAACCAAACGGGATACTTATTAAAGCAAGGAATAAGCCACCAACACATGCAATGATATATTTGATCTTGAAAATCATTACACAGAGAGAGGGGAGAAAGCCCCAATGCTTATCAGGCTGAACATCATACCGTTGTGTAAACTACAAGGAGTCACTATGGAACTGCAGATGGCTCAGCTCTAGCTACTTCTCCAGAGGTCCTGAGTTCAATTCTCAGTACTCACATGGTGTTCACAACTGTCTGTAATTGTAGTTTCACACAACTGAGTGCCCTCGCCTGGTGTGCAGGCATACATGCAGACAAAGCACCCATATTCATAAAGTATGTAAATAAATCAATCTTTAAAAAATAAGAATCCCAGGGCCTTGATGCAAGTTCAAAATGAAGCTGGGCTATGTCAGGTTTTCCTACTCAACTATTATTTACCACTCACTAAATAATTCTGGGTGTGTCGTGTCACTCTCTTAAGAACAAAGTGGGCATCTGTTGACAAGATGTCCTAACCCTCAGAAGGACACTGTGGGTTGCAGCCTGATGCCTTGCCACTTGAAGCCACTGTGAAAGATGGAAAAGTTTACAAAACTGGAGTGTCTGTAAGATGAGTCATCCAACTTTAATGACAATAGGAAATTCAAACGGTTAAAGTGAGTTATTCTCCTCATATGAGGTACCTGGTTTCCTCTAATCTTTAATGATTACTATTCTTGTATTCATCTGGACAATGCAGTTTCACACTTGGCCACCAGAGGACAGTGTATGTGTGGTTGATAATTTGGTATCCTCTCACAAACAGAATGCCCCCACTGCCCTGCCTGTCTCCTCCACCTACCTTCCTTCATGATCTCACCTCTAAACTGAGTATGTCACTATTGCATCATTGAAGTCCTCGCTGTGTCTCAAACCGTCTCATATGTCTTTCCGTGATTGCTTTCATATTTCTTTTCTTGGTATTTGGATTTCATCATTTAGGTTCCTAAAAGGCGAAGACATCACAGATCAATTTGTTTTAGAAGTATTTAAGCTCAAAGTGTGTCCTTGTCCTAGAGCATTCAGGACACAAGAATGTTCACAGTGAATGCCACCAACACCAGGGACACAACTAAACCACACTGTTCTCTGACCTCGTGACGAAGCATCCTCACTGACTCATCAGGCTGCATGGCCTCAGTTTTCTCTAAGATGCACTAGTAATTCTTTAGCTTAATTAGACGCTTCAGGTCACAGAGACCTGGAACGATTTGCCCTGTTATTTTTGAAGGCCTTTTTCCAATAAGAGGCTGAAATGCTTTCCCAGTGGGCTCATTAAGTCAAGCACTTGCTGTAACTACATGTCCGGTGGATGTGGAATCTTACAGATGATTCTTGCTGGCAGACTGGGCTAAAAAGGTATGCTGGCCATCCCTTTATCCTGGATATGGAATTATACTGGCCAAAGGTGATATTTGGGCATGATACTGTGTTTATTTCAG